GCCCTCTGTGCCAATTTGCTCATAGTATTCGCAGATATTATTTCCCAAGGCTGTGGCTATGACCATGATAGGATCATACGGATGATCAAGACCAATCAGGCTATCACATATTTGTTGTTTTCTTGTTAGGGCTTTTAGCTATTTATCTAGTCTCACAGACAATGGAAAGCGCATCCTTCATCTGCAATCTTTTCATTATTAAACTAGATTACTATGATACCTTTTAAGTGCACTTACCATATCATCTTCTAATGTCACAAAGGTTTGGTTAGGAGGTAAATGAGAATATGGTTTATAACATTACGGTTATTACCTCTTATCTCGGAATCCGCTCCTAGCTACGTCTGTCCTTTTCTATACAGATCAAGATTAGCAAGTCTGATAACTTTATCTCACCATCAGAGCTTCTCTCCTCTATGTAGGAATGAGCCCAGCCGAGGCAGTTCTCTTACGGGGTTCTTCGTTGCTGCCACCCGGTTAACACGATAATTGCGCCCCAGGGTGGCTGCAGGTCACCGCCGCGTAGTTTTGCAAGGAGGTCATTATCCTACATGTCTTCAGAACACTTCATTCGACGGTCCAGTGTGGAGGCTTCATGCTGTGTCTCTCTGATTTACTTTGTATATTTTGTGTTTGTTTGTATGTAGTTAGGCACGATAGCTTAAGAAGCAATGACTTCATTTGCAAAATTTCTGAGGAAATGCTTTCAGTTTGAAGAATCGAACTAAAAAAAGGAATATTGCTGTTACCATATGCATTAGAACAGATTAACGAAAGGCGTATCTATGAAAACTACGCCTGCTTATGCCATAGACACGAACACAGCTTTCAGTAAATTAAAGTTAGGGTTACTAAAACAGCATCTCTCAACCAAAGTCAGAAACATCAATGGCTTATGATCAATGATTCACAGACAGTAGAAATTACACTAGTTTATTTAAACATATAGCTTTTGTTAATGTGTTATAAAACTTAATAACGGTAATATTCCTTCATTTAGTCTGATATTTCCCTTGGGGATTAGTGAATAACATTTTGTTTGGGGGGGGGGCAAATGGAATTGAGCTAAACAATTGAAGACCGGGGGGGATAGAACCTGTCATGAGATCACGTCACTTATTCCCCTGGCGCCGACAGTCTCTCCCTGTCGGTAATTTTACTCCTTCATTAGTAAAATGATCAGTTAATGTCAGAAGCACGGGTGTTAGTGGAAATAGCAATAAGTTGAGTGTAAAGATTAGGTGTGCCCGCGATAGCCCTTATGAACAGTGCTGACAGACACAATATAACTGGCATAGCCACCCTTCGGCGGATCACTTCGCGGCGCTACGCTAGTGAAGTTACATCGGCGACCTGAATCACACCTTATCTTTGCACAAGTAACACTACGGCCCTGTTTTCTGGTAGTATCTGCTGAGGATGCCCCTACTGTACTTGCTGGCGAATTATATTCTATAGGAATTTCTTCGGTCACAACCATTTATTTTTCACGAGCCGACGTTTCGATGACCGTCTGTCATCTTCATCAGGGTAATTCTGATTGTTTTACTGTGCACTATTAGATTTTATACGATAATTTTTTTTCTTCATCCCCTACACACTGACAGACGATGACTTCTGCACATCGGAAGGTCATAGTGCCGCAGAGATACCGTCTCCTAGTGGTTTACATGTCTAATGCAGACCTGACGTTTTGTGTTTCCTATCACCCTATCAGACTCGCCATCTGTACTACATCTCCCAGTATTACCCGCTGTTCCCTCCGGGCGGTACGTTCTGGGAGGACCTGACCAGGGGGGGTGTGCAGACCGTGGTGAGGCATGGATCACCGTCCGTACATCACAGGCAAGACAAGGTGCCAGTTCCCTTAGTTTATTTTACAGTAAGGCCACACCGATTTAATTTATTGATGACATCCGCGCGCGCATTGATTTTTGCCTGTTCTCAAAAGAAAAAAACCCAAAAATGAAAAAAAACAAAACAAAAAAAAAGAATCACGTCCTCCGAGTCTCTGGCCTGGCTCTAGGCCTGGGATGTCCATGGTACTTAGCGCAGGTGGTTGAACTCTGGATGATTGGCACCCAGGCTACCGAAGCTCCACGACTCAAGAACTCAGTACATACGTACAGTGCAGATTCATAAATTCCGCAAAAAGCTGCATGTGCCAGCTTGTCGTAAACGTCGCTATGTACTGCTGCAAATACCAGCTTTCTATTCCTGTGGTTTAGTAGCATTTCATTTTTGGCCGGAATTTTTTTTATTCGCCCGCGCGCACTAGTTTGGGGGTCTTCAGAGGATGTCATCCATAAAATTAACTCGGTGTGGCCTAAAAGACATCCAATGCAATTTCAGGACAGTAAACTGGACTTTCAAAGTCAATTTTCTGGTCATACTTTTAACGCAGTAAGTTGAAGCAATTTTATCCCATTGCATACTGATATCTATGAATGCTAGTCCCGTATCGTAGACTGGTTTGAGCTATTTACTATGGTACCCGAGAAATATAGAGCCTGTTTTGGGGCGATTTTTAAACGCGTCAAATATCAAATGATGACGAAAATGGTAGTGAATTATTAGACAAATCTCCACATCCAGAATATTTTCGTTTTTCCCGTCTGACATTGCATATAATTTATTTAAAAGTTGGATACCCTCAGTGCTATGCTCGGTGCTTGTCTTTTGTATTTTGGGAAAAACACTAAACGTGGGACATTTGGGACATAGTAATAAATCCTAGTACAATGTTAATATTTTGGTAAATTAGATTTCTCATTTGTTAGGTTGGTTCCTCTAAAATTACTTTTTTTTCATCTGAAAACATAGAATACACATCGCCATATCTTTAGGCATTCCAAAGGCATTAATTCGGTCAGTAATTTCATTCGTGTCCCCCATTCCATTTCTTGTTTTGATAGACCACAGATATCAGTATCATTTTGCATCTATTGTATCGCAGTTCTAGAATTAAATATCTTTATTACGCGATAATTGCGTTATGTTTTATTCTAGATCACCGTATTTAAACCAATGAAAATTCAACTCTTTCTGTTGATTTGTTTTGTAGCCAGTCGGACTGTCGTTTGATTTCAAGTTCTACGGACATTACATCAGGAACATATCCATCTCAACGAGTGGTAAGTTTTCCTATAAACGGTCTATTTGAACCGATCTTTACAGGCTAGTACATAGTGATGCTTTTCGGAAACTTTGATGGTCTCCGCAATTTCATGGTCAATATCAGGACGTAATAGTTGCAGTAGCAGTAACTGGTATTTGGAAGCGGCGCAGATGAGGCTGGCTATAAAATTCTGATGAAGTCTGAATGGCGTGTCCCTGATTCCTTCAAACTGAAATTGGAGAAAAGCCAGGACTGGATTTGCTTCTCTTCCATCTCTGCTATATTAAATACTAGGGTGAGAGACATTGGCATTGGTTATAATCTAACCAATGGACCGATGAAAATAGGCTTGGGATTCTGATAGTGGAGGACACTACATAAAGAATGTAATTTGTGTTTCTGTCACCCGCCAAGCGAGATGGCTCTGTCTTTTCTTTGATTTTTAGTCGAAGCAATTACGCGTTATCGTGATTGTCAACAACATGTTTGTTTGGGATATATTTTTTCGTTAATAAACTCTTATTACCAGGGTTTGTATTAGGCCACGAAGAAGAGTGTAGCATAAGAAATTGCCATTGTTTTTTTTGTTTCTTTAATGACATTTTAAAAATATACCATTTCCAAAGGGACACTGACTATTTAAAACATCGATATTTAAAAGTGGAATTCAATAAAATGAAGAACTAGATGAGGTAGCTGTATTTCTTACAATTTGACACATCGAAGATTTTTCTATTTTGAAAGTTTATCTGTATTGGTAGACGTCATTATGCCAGAAATTCAAAATCTAATTTCCAACAAAAGGAATTGTCGATAGACCGTATAGCTTTAGTCTTTGTCAAGGAATAAGCAATCCACAGCTTCCGCGGCGTCACGTCATGTCATACTTGACTCCGGGAGCAGACCTCAACAAAGACGGAGGGCGGCACAGACTTCCTGCAACTTACGATCAACTGCTCACCGAGTCACGTGTGTCATCGGTATGACGTCACGTCACGGAAGCAGTGGATTGCTCATTTATTAGCAAAGGCTGGAGTTTTACAGTTGAAACTTTGGGTTAGTCGGAAATTAAAGTTCAATCAATCAATCAATCAATCAATCAAATGGTTTATTTGTGAAAACAAACGAGAACTTTGTTGATACATAAAATTATTTTGCCTAGCATGTTTATGCTGTCGAGCTTTATGCCGTCTTATGAGTTAAACAATGGTGATTACTAGTGCACGATTTTTCTCCAACGTCGTTTACACTCAGGTTACCTGAACACCGGAGCTTACCCCAGCTTTGTGACGGACACTCAGTACGTGGCGCCGCTCTTTGATTCCCAGCTTGACTCCAGTTTAGACACAGAGGCGTCTGTGAGGTACAGGGACAACGGTAAGAACCTTCCAATATAAGAAATCATGATCCCTTGTTGACTTAACCCGACACCGGGAGCGAACTGTAGGAAAGGAAATATTCCTGGAATCCACTGACAGCCGTAGGCGGAATGTTGAATTGTTTGAAAGATGTTTGTGAACATTTAAATTCGGACATACGGTACAACTGGCTTCGATTTCTGTACTAATGACTATTTTAGATTCTGTTGCTCACTGCTGTATATGAAATAATGATTCACGTATTGATTTGAAATTGATAAAAGCGACCCTCAAAGGCAAGCACAAATGGAAGGTAATCTCGTTTGTCCTGTGCAAGTGTCGTTAGAAGCCATGCTGCTATATTGGACATGTGTTTATCGCCCTCAGGAACGGCGTTCACGGTTGAATGGCGCCGGTTACGACTGGGCAGACCGCCCGGAGTCTGCTGCTTCACATTCCAGGCGACATTATTGAAGGGAGGACGGATCGTGTTCGCTTATTGGCAGGTAGGAAGTCTGATTTTCTTCAGGAGCACACAGAACATTTCATTTCGACTCTGACAACTTCAACGTTCGACCCAAAACTACCAGTATAATATATTAAGGCTGGATTGAGCATGCAATGTTGTAGTAAACCATGATTCTAGACGCACAGCTATCAAACTAATTCAGCAATGAAGACAACCTGATACACCTGTGAAAGCGTCGACTTCAAAGTTGAGATTCGAACACAATTACAAGGTTTGTTTTCCAAAACATAACGTTGTAATTGTTGGTTATATAACTTGTGTTGGTTAGGTAACTTGTGTTAATTATCTGGATCATACTCGTAAGAAAATTCAAACTCTACTACTGGATCAGTTACGGATTTTTATTTATTTCCGGACGTTTCGAGTGACATCCATCACTCTTCTTCAGCGTCACAAATGAACAGAGAACCGATTCACTCTTATATACAAGTAACTAGAAAAACCGGTTAAACAACAAGGTCTGTAAGAAGCTTTATCATGTAAAAGAACGGTTCACTCAATATACAGGTAATTAGAACTAGAAAAACCTGTTCAACAACCGTAAGAGTCTTTGTCATGTGAGGAAGGTTCCTATGGTAAGAAATTACCATAGGAAATGTTACTGTCCCTTGGGCCGTGGCAGGGCGGGGTCCCATGTGCTTGAGAGTTCTATGCGCAGTCCCCCCTTCCTGTTCAGGGTGGGGTTGTAGATGCGCTCATAGATGGCCTCCTTCACTCCGCGCTCGTACCATCGTGGTTCACGGTCGAGGATGTCTGTTGCCTCTAGCTTGAAAGAGTGTCCCTGGTTGTGTTTGGTGTGATGGTAGATGGCAGAAGAGTAGCCGCTTGCTGTAGCCCTGCAGTGTAACATTTCCTATGGTAATTTCTTACCATAGGAACCTTCCTCACATGACAAAGACTCTTACGGTTGTTGAACAGGTTTTTCTAGTTCTAATTACCTGTATATTGAGTGAACCGTTCTTTTACATGATAAAGCTTCTTACGGACCTTGTTGTTTAACCGGTTTTTCTAGTTACTTGTATATAAGAGTGAATCGGTTCTCTGTTCATTTGTGACGCTAAAGAAGAGTGATGGATGTCACTCGAAACGTCCGGAAATAAATAAAAATCCGTAACTGATCCAGTAGTAGAGTTTGAATTTTCTTACGAGTATCGTTTACCTGGATGTCTAACCTTCATCAACGTATCTGGATCATAATGATTTGTTTAGCAGTTATTATATTACTTTGAAAACCAGTAGAGTAAATAGATTTTTAGTTACTGACTAGCATTAGAAGATATGTTCCTGTCATACTGTCAAACTGTAGGCCGTCTCCCGAGACGAAAAGTGCCCGGGAACCTGTCAGTCTAGGATGTTAATGTGTAGTTTATAGTTATGGGGGTCAATTCACTCCTGAAACTGCTGAAAAGGTCTCAGTGGGAGCGTGTCGTTATTACTGCTGGTAACAGGTTCCACAGGAGGGCTGGGCTGGAGCCGGGGGCGACATCAGAGTTGGCGTCTCAGATGCGTACAAAGTCAAGAAAAGACCGGCGCATGATCCGAGTAAGTAACACGCTCACGAGGAGTCTACATGTTCAGATACTAATGAGTAAAGCTACCCTAACCCTCATCGGGATGATTCAGTCAGACGCTTCAATTTGTACAATCATGTAGATGTGCCAGTTAGAATTACTCTGGCAAGAGATCATTTTCGTTACTTTGCGAGAGGAGGGTATCACAGGCTTGCATAAATATGCGCATATGTTCAACGACCCCGCTACCAAAGATTCAGATGAATGGGATTTAAAATGGAATTTGAACGCATGTGTTTCAATATATTTGAAGGCACGCCCATGTTTTCTAATTTTACGTGATAGTGTATTTTCGTATGTTTGAACTTACTTTGTTCTTTACTTTCAGAAAGAGAACGTCTACCAGTCAAGGAATATCATAGGGTCAAACTAGACCTTGAAAAAGTACAGGATGGAACTATTTTCGTACTAATTCCTCAACCATGTAAGTAAACATTATTATTATAAAATGCTGGTCAAATCTTTGATTTTATTACGAAGTTTAGAAAAAAAATAACCTCTATCTTAATGCCACTAAATTTGAAAATGTTTGCCCTATATGCGCAAGAAAGGCAATTAAGTTGAAATGGATCTCTTAGGGATTCGGCTACTGAGAAAACTGTCAAGGATCTAATTACAGATGGCGGCTTGAAGATGATAACAGATCATAATTATGATAAACCACATGGAGCCAAATCACATCTTATTAAGCGCGTTAGTGCATGCGTAGTAGACTTCACAATTTTTTTACACTTTTTGTGGGAACGACAGCTTACTGAAAAACCCTGGCCTGGTCTTCATCTGAATAAATTTTTGGCTCTTTCAAATCCAATAATAGAACTTTTATATACATGTAAAAGACGCAAAAAATCATTTCATAACTGTATTCCAATATATTTTGAAAGCTATCAATATGATGGGTGAAATCTGTAATTGTATCGTTAATTTACATCGGGTTTTCTAATTAATATGAATTAATTTATATGAATTAGTTCTACAGAAGAATGCAAAGAGACAACTTTTATTAACATCGCCGGAAGACAGTAAATCTAGGCGTAATGAGGAGGCGTTTATCAAATATTGCCTTATGTCACTGTCATTGTTTTATATGTCATACAATACATGTAATTTCAACAGAAATGACATAAAAATACATATGTACCACATTCTATCCAGTTATTAAGTTGTTGATAAAAGTATAAATGATTTGCTTGTTTACTCTCTATCTACAGGGTGTGGGGATATAACTGACTGCAGCACGTGTTTGAATTCATCCACCGAGTTCAACTGTGGCTGGTGCTCATCTCTTAAAAGGTTGGACTTTTTTCTAGCAATATTCTTACTCACGCTTTTGTCGCTATATCTATATTTTCTACGCTGTTGGATGGACACAGGGAAAAAGAAATCAGGATAATCATTACATTTAACATTTATTCTAAAATGAAATAGGAGTAGTGAACATTAGTATACATTAGTAATAATTCGTTCACGGTTGTGACAAAATCATTGATAAGTGGTCATCACCTTATTGAAGAAAGGTTAGATTAGATTCTTGTTGCAAAAAAATGATGAAAATCTATCTTTAGCATTGTGCTCCACCTAAAATAGAGACACACAATATCTAAATTCAGGTAGTCACCGAGTAGTTGATGCATCAGGCATATCAGCTGATTTATAGGTACCCTAACTACAAGAGTTATCAATCAGTGTGGCTTGCTGAAAACCCTAAAGCTGCGTATTATGTTCAAATCGTTAAAAATATTAGCTACTGAGAATAATTTGGACTATAAGATTTATGCTAAAAGTCGAAGCACCGTTGAGAATGTGAATAAGGTTGGTACATGGCAGGCTGCTATCTACAAACATACTCGCGGGAGCGATGCAATTCGTACTGAAATATACTTCAAATCAAGCTGGAATGTGTTCTCCACACTATGAAGACTTTCCAATCTAACTCAAGCCGTTACAGCGTCACATTTCCTATCTTTGTCCATTACGCAAATCACCCTCATGAGACTGAACCGGGCCTCGGGATGCAGGGAGGGGATTTGTGAAGATGAATTTTACCGTAAACACTTGATTGTATCTTCTCCATTACTGGGTTTATGCATCGAAGACATCTCAGTCCACAAACATTATCCACAACTTCGTCTCAAAGGCATACTTACATATTCTCTCACATCAAGCTGAGCTCTACTTTTAACATGCGAGTCATTTTATGGTAACCCCTTTAAACAGCAGGATTCCATACCCAGGGCGACGCACTAAGGAAGTACTCCCCACTGTGGCTTCTCCAGCAGCTTGAATACTGAATTGACCCCAATAAATACATAAACTCATAAACATCCCAGACTGTCTCAGCCCCAGAAACAAAAGGCATGGACAGATTAGCATAATACTGGTCACTTTTTCGAATTTTTCCTACACTGTTTTAAAAGTAACAATATTAAACCGTGCAAAATGATCTAGATACTAGTAACTGAGTCACATTATTAAGAAAAGAGTACCTGCAACTTTCAGTTCCTGGAATCCAACCTTGTGGTCAAATTTCAGTTTTTCAAACTGCCCTGTCAAAGTTTTATCAAAGTCTCTAATTGTACATGTCTACATGTAAAATGTCAACCTAACAACTTAGGCTTTGATAATAAGTCTATCTAGAAATATGGCTTGTAATTTTGGTGCTAATTTGGTAGTATGATAAAACAGTACACGTAGACTCTAACACCCATTACTGTTCGTTTGTCTCTCTTATCTAACATTTGAAATATTTGGTCAATGATTGACTCTGATTTTGTATCTATGTTTTTCTGTTTAATGATTGCTCTTTCAAGACCTGATTATGTGGCTTATCTATTCAGTTTGCAATAGATAAGAAAAAGAACTGTAATTGAGTAACCAAGTGGGCAGTGCTATAAAGTTAAAAAAACAGAATCGTAAAATCAATTTTCACACACTTACTAGGTGTCAATACCATTGAACCAATTTTTCACTAGGAAGAGAATTGATTTAATTTCCACTATATTGACATTAAAAGACAAAGGGTCAATCTTCCAATACCCTCCATACCCACACAGTGCCGGAGGCGGTGCCATGTTCTGAACCGGTGACGATCTCACTATACCTTCACGTGGAATGAAATTAAATTATCTGGTGACAGGAATAAAAAATGGAAATGTTATGTATAAGGTTTAATCTTCACCAAAATGATTAGAAGAATACTTATCTTGGTTGAATTTATTAGCATTCAGGAACTGTTTTATTTCGTCAGTTCCTGAATGCTAATATAAAAAAAATACATCTGATTATGACTTTACTTGCACTTGAGACTCAAACATGGAAGTGGTTTACAATACTTTATATCTACATTTGATTGTTTTATTAGGATCTTCATTAGTATATATTCCTCACTATTCTTCTTGGAGAACGTAGCGAATCACCAACTTTCAGATAGTAAGTAGTGCCTTCTCAAACCGGGGTTCTTTCACGAAAAGTGTGGTGGGTTCTTTATCATGCGTCGGGTGTGGCTCTCCCCAAACAAGGAGCCTCCATTTTTAACGTCCTATTCAATAGACGTCCCTAACCAAAGCTAGGTACTCATTTTCGCTTGAATACAGTGAGGAAATTCTTGTGAAGTTCCTTTATACCACGGGCACAATATCGGGGGCACAATGTGTTCTAGGCCAAGCACCCACCATTACGCCATGCACACTATATGTACTTTATCAAGCGAACAGTCGCAATACGAACGCACCATGAATACAGGCTTCACGGATATTACGTTACAAGATGCGTCTGTTCTGTTACTCTTTACTTCAAATCTGCCTGATATGTTTGACAAACAGGTATCTGGAATGGAAATTTTCCGTATGATCTTTCAAAGTTACTACAAATGCGTCAGACGAAAGAGCATCACCTAGATCAGACGTCAGGCCAGAGAGCCTGTGGCTTTTGTGGGAGGACGTAAATGAACACGTAACGGGCAGCCATGTACTTTTCTGTGACTGATAGAGCTGTGGCAGGGTCATAAAAAAAGCTCACGCCCGATACAGGTCTTTCTGCTGCCGCCACACTTTTACTTAATGCACACTTGTAACACAATCGACTTCGTATGTCAAGCTGTTAACAAACATCACCGCACACATTCTGAAACAGCAATCATCAGGACAGACGATATTTTTACTTTCCGCTTTCATTGTGATGATACCACAACCCAAATGGCACAGTTCAAAAGTACAGGGTTCAGTGTAATCAAGGAGCATGTTAAGAAGAGAGCTCTGTGCACAATCCTTAAACAATACAGCTCCTATGACTCAGCCCTGCAGTTAACAGGACTCAAGTCATTGAAGGACAGAAGAGAAGACCTATGCCTTAAATTTGCTACAAAACTGAACCCTGGTAACCTACCTCCTAAGGTGGGGGGACTCTCAGGAAGACACACAAGGAACTCTGAAAAGCTAAAAACTATTAAATACTGGACCAACAGATATAAGAACTCATACCTGGTTCGCATATTGAACAATTCCTCCAAATAATGTGTATCGTGTTTCTAGGGTGTTTAGTCTGTCCTCTAGTCTCATTTTTTACTATGTATATTATTGCGTTAGTATTTCATATATGTCTGTAATTGTTAGTTCTAATGTTGAACTTGAGACTGTTATTTTTAGGTATTTAATGTATAATGATATGGATTTTATTTAATAACTTAACAATTTTAATGTGTTATGCTAAATATGTCAAGAAATCAAATTGTACAGCAAGACAAAATTTAGCCAACGGCTACAAGTTCTTGCTTTTTTTCACAAATAAACCATTTGATTGATTGGTTGATTGATTGAATCAAACACAGATACACAGGTGCCAGCATAATTATAGTTAAATGTAGGCAAATAAACTACCTTTATTATCAGTAATAATTATGTCGTTATTTTCGTCCACTGCTAGTCGACACATCTTTCTTTACTGATCTTAATGATTATACATATGTCTTATTCAGCCTAATAAATCAAATGAAATCAAATGATTAAAAAGAATTTCACATTCTGATCGCTTATATTGTGATCGACGATTTTAGTAGGTACTGAATAAAGGGCCTTTATTGACTTAGAGCTGTGGAGCTGATGACTTACTTGAGATTGCCGGATAGTGAGAGTCATGTTTAAAAGCAATGCTTAGATCACATGTTCCTGTTGAACAGACGCCTACGAGAATTATAGGTAGAGGCGTTCGTTTCGAAACGTTGGTTTGCCTTTAATTGTTGTACTTTGTAAGAGTCAAGTGATATAAATCTGACAAATCAGGAAGAATAGCTGCCATCCTTGGGTGGGCAGCCGAAGGAGAGATTTTCCTCAATAAACCTCAATAAACAGAAGACTAAACCAACATCTTTTTTGTTATTATTACATTTTTAAATGTAACAAAAATTAATGACCTTCTTGTTTTACGCATGTTGAAATTACAGTACATTTAAATATACACATAGGTCGAAATGGACCCCAACACATGGATAAACGTTTTAAAAAGACCGAGCCAAAACTAAAAGGAGGTGATTACATTCTTAAAAATTGCAACGAATGTGAAGATGATATTTTTCTGTAGTTATTACATGGTACGGACACTATAAAGTATACGCAGACTACGCACTTGTGGTTTGTGATGTTATTTCATATATAATCATAGTCTGAAGTGGCTACTGTTCTGCAGATGTGCAGACGGCTATGATTGGTTATTTGTTTGTGTTGTACAGATGTTCAGATGGCAACGATTGGTTGACGACTACATGGAACGACGCAGACTGCCCAATCCAGGCACGTTTTCTTTTTACATCTTTTCTTCTCTGTTTAGCAAACATGCTTCCATTGATGATTGCCCATGCCTTTGTATAACTCATTGTTCTACTTTAGATGAATGTGCAACTTTATGAAATGATAACTATTCCGTACAATTCATGTTTCATATCTAGGTAAAAAATCCTCCATGCAAAGCGTTAAAAACGACATCGAGGCCCAGCGTGTCTACCACTGTTTTCAGCTCAACAGTGACGTCATCGATACATCCGTCACAGAGACAGGAGAAGACAAACACACCGCAAAATCCAAAAGGTAAAGGTCCTTTTTCCTGGAAAAGGTAAAGTCCCTGTCACACAGAGCCAAAAATGCCCCTCCTCGAACAAATAAAGACGTATTTGAAGTTAGAACATGGCCACTACCCCTCAGCCAATGAGAGCCCTTCATTTTCTGTGTCTATATCCCCATAGTGCAAAAAAGTGTTGTACTATCCAAAAAAAGTGTGGTACTAAAACTCATTTGCATAAAATTAGTACCACACTTTTCAGTTAGTACCACACTTTTTGGGTATACTTGAAACCAGGTCCCCCCTCTGTGCAGGCTAATCACCAAAACAGACCAGCTTTCTCGGAGTTGTTTGGCTGTCCATCTGACCTGATTGACGACCGCAGCCAAACAACTCCTTGAAACAGGCAAAAAGTGACACTAAACAAAGCTTTATAAAGCAAAATCAAGACAAATTTTGATATTGAATAAGTTTGAAAGATAACTTCGGGGAAATGACCATGTTCTAAGTCAGATAGACCATGGGCTTGGGCTCGTTTACTGGGATATAGTGTTGCGTACCCACTCAGGGACTACCTGATGACACCCTCGGCTACCGCCTCGGGAGTCAGGCAGTCCCCTTGTGGGCGGAGCAACACTATATCCCAGTAAACTCGCCTGGCCCATGGTCTATCTATTACTTAAAACCTTTGTTCCAACACAAAAATTCTCTCACCTGGAGCTTTCGACCAATCACTCTGGTCTTCCTCAGTAGACTGACCCAGTGAAGCTTGTCACGTGGCTTCTTTGAAGTGTGACGTCAATACTGGGTCAAAGGTATCTGGTAGACGATGTCGTACCCCGTCGCGGTTCAATGTAGGATGACGGGCCCTGATGTATATGACTTCCTTCAACCCTCTCAAGAAATAATCTAGCAGATACCTTTGACCCAGTGTTGACGTCACACTTCAAAGAAGCCACAAGCTGCAATGGGTCAGTCTACTGAGGAAGACCAGAGTGACTGGTCGGAAGCTCTAGGTAAGAGATTTTTTGTGTTGGAACAAAAGTTTTAACTTCAAACATGGAACTACAGATGAACTTTCATGATAAATAAAGACGTAATTTGCATGAATAATTAATGAGAAAATAAATAATGAGAAAATGCTATAATGCAATAGTTGTGACTGACAGGAATTTCATACTTACGGCATTTGGAAGTTAAGTGAAGGTGATAATCATTAAACGTATTTTATTGAAATTCAAACCTTATTTGCATGATTAATGAGAAAATAGTTCTATATGTTTTTAAAAGATTGTCATTGGGTGGAGAATATGATCAAAGCATATAGATACAAGTGAGAATCGTATTTCCATAATCAATGTGAAACATTCATCATACGTCAGTCGTAATGGTTAACATCATTTGACGAAGGTATGATCTCGTGGAACTCTAGTTTGCAATGGATTCAACTTACTTTATATAGACATGACAATGTACTCGGTGTATCGGCCAAATGTTCCGTAGTGCACATTCTATGTTCTATCATGAAAGTTCATCTGTGTTGTTGGTAGTTACATGTTTAAAGTCAAAACATTTGGTCCAACACAAAAGAGAAAATTCTCTCACCTAGAGCTTTCGACCAGTCACTCTGGTCTTCCTCAGTAGACTGACTTAGTGAAGCTTGTAAAGTAGCTTCTTTGAAGTGTGACGTCAACACTGGGTCAAAGGTCACGTACCTTCTTGAAGTGTCACGTCAACAATAGGGTCAAAGGTAGCTTCACTGGGTCAGTTTACTGAGGAAGACCAAACGTTTTTTTGTGTTGGACCAAACGTTTTAACTTTAAACACCTTCAATGTTAGCATGGAAGTTCATCTGTGTTGGTATATAACATTATGATAACAGTTAAACTTAACGTGACCAACAAACACAAAGTAAATTGGGACTTACCCCAAATTTTCGTATTCACGTATGACCCTCTGCTGCAACCACGTGTTTCCGACGTCAGTCAGTCGAAAATTTGGGGTAAGTCCCAATTTACTTTGTGTTGGTCACGTTAAGTTTAACTGTTATCATAACCTTCAATGTTGTTGTATTTTCCCAGAAAACCCTGGCCAAAGACGAACGCCTGGACCGAACCTCCCGGACTATAAAGTCCCTCGAGGCGGGAGGAGTCTGGAAACAGACGCCATTGTGGGGATTCTTGTAGGGATGTTTATTCTGATCGCCATCATCGCTTGGACAGTGCACATTTGCTCTAAAAAGAAATCTGAACCAAAGGTCGTTGTTGTCCAGGTAGGTTAAATCTACACTACCCTCGCTAGGAAGATCGAATAGAATTTCTTGTTTGTTTGTTTGTTTGATTAAATAATTGATTAGGATCTCCATTAGTGTAAACTTTACTCTATTCGCCATGGAGTCCGTGTTGAATCACAGTTTCATACAGTATTTGGACCATTTCACACTGAGGCATGCCCCTACTCTTTTTCGAAATGTGTTGTAGGTTGTTTTAAGTACGTGGGTTGTGGTTGTGGTTCTCCCCGCTCACTAAACCGAAATTATTTACTCATTTCCACCTGAGTAAGGGGCACAACATCGGGGCATGTCATAGATTCAGCCCTAGTACCACTGTTCTGCGCCAAACACCCAACCATTACGCCACACGACGCCACTATTGTGATTTGCAAGCTTCCGCCAAGCCAAATTGGGTTACCATTCACCCTGACGTTAGCTGGTCGCCCGTCAGACAGATACTCCACCGGCACAGGCCCGGCCGTTTTTTTTCTAGCCAGTTGCGGTAAAAAAAGAGGCAACGTCAAATAATATATCATTGGGTGGGGAACTGGACTTTCGCTTTTGAATTTCCTGTATTTACTGTTTTGCATGTCTTAAAGTTGCGTTTTTCTTCTTCTTTATTATATGTATTTATTTAGTGGTGCCGTAAACATAAGTGTTTTCCACTTGAGTGCGGCACCACCATGTCTTGTACCTTTTTCTATGTGAACGAATAAAATAATAGTAATTATAATATACTGCCAGCAGAAGTCCAAAGTGTAGGACGGTACGATTGCTTGCGTATCGTCTGATACAGAGGGTGTTCTTGAAAATGTGTTCAAGTAAATGTAAACCTGGAATGTGTTAAAGCAGCACATACGTGGACGCCTACCCCTTCGTACATTAGTCAACAGGCAAAATTGATAGATTTATATTAGTGTGTTTGTTTGTTTGTTTGTCCGTTTTGTGTGTTTGTGCCCGTGTTTGAGTTATTGTTATTGGAGATATTGGTATTATATCTTTCACATCATTTAAGAGGTTGTAAATGTATTACTAAATTACTAAATGTATTACTTCTTTTGTATTTTCAGATATAATCCTTAAATCTTGTAAAAAACAAACGTTGGCAGGGAACATTCAACTTCTAGCACCCTTCATCTCAACATGTTGCAGAGAGATTGGAAATGGCAGAGACTTGATACACAACGTTTTACAAAAAAATAATCCGATTCATAAACCTGCATCAAAGGTAAGTAATTGTAACCTAGTACTACGCAACTACGCAGTCATTATACCTGTTTAGGCCACACCGACTTAGTTTTATGGATGACATCCTCTGAAGAGCCACAAACTAGTGCGCGCGGGCGAATAAAAAAAATCCTGTCAAAAATAAAAATGCTACTAAACCACAGGAATACAAAGCTGGTATTGTGAATTACCAGTAGTACATAGCGATGTACACGACAAACCGGCACATGCTGGATTTTTGCGGAGTTTATGAATCGGCACTGTACGTATGTACTGAGTTCTTGAGTCGTGGAGTTTAAGTAGCCCAGGAGCCATCCTCCAGAGTTATCGCCGGCTTCGTATTGTCGCTAACTACCATGGACTACCTAGGCCTAGAGCCAGGCCAGGCGTGGTCATGATGTTTTTATTTTAAAACAGGTAAAAATCAATGCGCGCGAGGATGTCATCCATGAAATTAAGACGGTGTGGCCCTACGTACAGAACGTTGTTGAATTAACTATCGAGTTACTATATAAACTCAATTTGCTGCATCCAAGTAGAATCAATTTGCTGTATCCAAGTTGTTTCTCAAACAATAACTTAAATTCTCATTGCTACATCACGTCATTTCCTACGGCTATGGAACGTCGTTGAACTTCCCTCCACACTTACAGATAGAGATGGTACCAGTGAAGTTCCAACGACCAGCGAGCGATCACGACTTTGTAGACCATTATGTCTTCCATCACCACACCTGACAACCGAGGCCTTACCGTCATCGTGCTGCTAGATCGTTCATCTCAGCCTGGTGCCCTGTCTGCCGTGGTTTGGGCCGACTTTTTTCGGTCCTGCAGGAGATCTTCGCCGCCCGACCCAACTAGGCTCCCCGATAGGTTTTGCAGGATGGGATTTCATGGTGGGGCGAGTCAACACATGTCGTTCACAACTCCTACAGACGTAACACTCCCTCTGGGCGGCCGGTTAACCCTACCTAGACCGGGCTTTTTGGGGCTTGGTAGGACGGGGGGGGGGTCGTATGACCACCAAATTTTCAGAGGATGGTGTACTAGTAAAATTTATCATATCTACATTTTTTATTTCGTTATGACGTTTTGGATTTTCAATCTTGAATTTTCAAAAGTCCTTTTTAAATAACCTGCATATACCTGTTCTAATGATATGGAATCTTGGATTTTGGTCAATGACATCGTCAAATTAGATTAAATTATGCATTTTTAATTATAAAATTTACGTAAAATTATCTAGGATGTTATTAATGTTAGAAACCATGTGTAACTTGACCATAAAATTCTATTGTTGAAACTAAAATTACTAAATTTAGCAAAAATGCCTGACAGAAACCCGTTGCCATGGCAACAGAAAAAAAAAATGTTATCTTATTACAATGATACATACTTGTTGCCAACAATATTGTAGGAAAAATCACCAAGTTTGGCCGTTCAAACATTAGCCGCTCAGACGCTACGTGACATCAAAGTTAGCGCGGGCACTTTTAGCCCCCCCCCCCCGGCCTAGATAGGGTTTAACTGAGCAGCTAGGGGACTTCACAGAGCCCGCCCTAACCACGATACACTGGGCAACAGGCTACGTTCATCGTAGCAGGGAAATCAGTACAACAATGAGTAAATTAGAAGAAATAGCTGTTTTTCTAACCTGGATCTCCACCTCCGGAACCGCCAATTTTACACTAGAAAGCACTTATTGTTATCTAAATGATACCATATGCTGTATTTGTACTTGCGTGTTGTAACATGGAAAGAACCGAGTTTATGCTACAAAGATAAAGATGCAGATTTCATTATTACATTACGGAGACATATTGTTGTATCTACAACTTTAACTTTACATCAATGAAGTTTTACCACTATTTATGTTTCCAGTCTTTTACATCGCGACGAAACACTGAATTTCTACTCACGAAAATCGTCTTTTATTACTCTACAATCCTAAATTATATAAATATTACGAGTAACTTTTTATCATATCAACTGTAGGAAGCGGCGTATACATTATATCTATCAGTAGTGACTCTTAAATGCATTAAAATACATTTCGGGTGGTTTTGCACATCTTGGCTCACAACAATGGGTGAACGAAACTAGTAGCTGCTAGATAGTTTATACGTTTATTTTGGTTTTATGCACTCTATTGTAACAGTTCATTGTAAAGGTTCATTAAATGGTAATTTTATGGTGTATTTGTGCCTGTACTTGGGTCTCTTTCCCCTCTCTCTCTGTACCTTAATCTTCTTCAGATGATTACGTGTTGATAGCTTTCTATATTTTATTAGTTCTTCCATAACATGATATATCAGCTCAAAAGGTAAGTTTTTAAAACACTTTTGAGCTGTAATATGACCGTAATGTACTTTCAAGTTCATAGGCAATGCAAGCACGAAAAGTGTACCCACAGCAAGTAATTGTTTATTTATTTATTTGAAATTGCAACATGGCAATACAATGTTGCCGCCAGGCAGCTGATAGCTAGCTGACAGCCAAGGTTTCGCAGAGTGGTTACTGCAGTAGGGAAGGTGAACTTTGGTCTTTCTCTCGCCACAAGAGATTGGTCACCTGTCTATAGCAAGGTTTCTGTTGCGTTGAGGAGAAGGCCAACACGTTCTACAGTTTGACCAGGGCACTCTTTAACCAGCACCTCCCTGTGAAAGTCACGTCAGTCAGGGCCTGCGATAAGAACTGGGTCACAGAGCGAGTTCAACGCGTCATCAGGAGCAGAACTGCTGAGTTCAAGCGTCATGGGAGATCTGTTAAGTGAGAGCGTCTCCGAAACCGAGCTCAGACCATCATAAGACAGGAAAAGTTCTGGTACTATAGGAACTTGATCCAGTATCTCAAGCAGGAGAACGAACAGAAGTGGTGGAATTTCGTGAATTTGGCAGACCGCAGGGCCACCTTGATCGCCAGGATGACGTGGGCGAGCACCTTCCCTGGTGCAGAGGCTTGGACCCTCACAGCCACAGAGGAACGCCATCTGGACACCTTTGACCAAAAATGCCTGCGTAGGATCCTCGGCTACCGCTGGTATGACTTCGTCTCGAACTCCACGGTACGCCAGAGAACTGGTCAGCCGCCCGTCTCCCACGAGGTCAGACAGGCCCGCCTACGACTCTTTGGTCACTTAGCCAGAGCCGATCCACCCCTGGAAGCTGCCAGTCTACTGAAGGCAGCCACGCCTGCAGGCTGGTCCAGACCCAGAGGCAGACCCAGACGCAGGTGGAGAGACCAGCTGAATGCTGACTTCAGCAAAGTGGGCCTGGATGCAGCCACAGCCTGGCAGAGGGCGCAGGACAGAACTGGCTGGAAGACAACTTGGAGAGGCGCGACGCTCCCCGGAGCATGCGGTCCTGAGTGAGTGAGTGAGCAGGAGAAAGCAAGGCGCATAGCCATTGAGGGTAAACCGGACTGTGAAGTGGCTGAAGCTCTTAACCAGCGCTTCTCTGACGCGTGGTGCCGTGGAAATAAACCTGCACTTGTTCCCCTTCAACGTCCTGCCAAAGCAGTTCAACTGTGCAAGACTGGAGAGGTTAAGGCCCTGCTTAAGAGCTTAAACTCCACCAAAGCTAGCGGTCCAGACGATCTCCCCACATGGACCCTGAAGCAGTACGCTGAGGACCTGGCTCCTGTCGTTACCCACCTGTTCAATGCCTCATACCAGCAGAGAATAACACCAAGCATCTGGAAGGTAGCTAATGTTGTACCTGTCCCGAAGTCTAGGGAAGCAGCCAACTACCTACAAGGGCGCACTTAACTCACGTCAGGGGTACCGCAAGGAGGAGTGTTGTCGCCCTATCTGTTTCTTTTGTTCATGAGTTCATGCGCCACGGTTCAGAGCGACACCTTAGACGTGGGTTTGTCCAGATCAGTCTCCCTGAAGAATGCTTGCACGGACAGTGTCATGACAGAGGAAGCGTCGCAGCTTGACAACTGGGCTGACCGAAACGACATGCTCCTGAACGGCAATAACAGCCAGTCAATGCTAATCTGCTTCTGCAGAAACGTACCCGTACCTCCATCTCTGTCTCTCGGGGGCGAACTTGTGCCAGTGTTGCCAAGGGAGTCTTGGCTTCATCTTTGACAACAAACTCTCCTGGCGCGAACACGTGAAGTCTATGGTGTCAAAGGCCTCGAGCAGGCTCCACTACCTCCGCCTGCTGACAAAACAGGGCATGAGTGTGCAAGATCTCGTCCAGGTGAACCTGAGTCTCATCCGCCCTGTTCTGGAGTATGGGTATGTTCTGTTGGTCGGTTGCAGTGAGGAGCAGGCAGCGAGCATGGAGAGGGTTCAGAGGCGTGCCGGATTATCTCACGCGGCAGGGCCATCCTTGAAGGAGAGGAGAGAGGCCGCGGTTGTGTCTCTTGTCAAGGCCATGCTGAATCCTGAGCATCCCCTGCACGACCTGGTTCCTGCCCAGAGACAGTCTGCCACAGGAAGAGCACTGAGGAACGGTCATAACATCACAGTTCCCTATGCAAGAACCAAACGACTGCAGCAGTCATTCCTGTATTTCGCCATCAGACTTTACAACAACTCACCCTCTGGGTCTTGAATATACACTGAACCTGACTTGACCGGATGCAATCTCTGTGGACATTGTGTATATTTTAATTATTCTGATGTGTCTCTGTATATACCTTATTCGGATATTCATGAATTGTCTCTCAATTTTTTTTAATGTGAAAAATGGTACCCAATTCAAGGGGAAGTAGTTATGCGATGTACATTTAAAATAGTGCAATAAAGACATACTAGACAAAATTTTCAGTTTTATCTCCCAAAGGTAGTAAATTTTGATTCATAACTATCAAATAAGCAGATGATACTCTAAGAACTATTTAGGAAAAATTTAAATAATTTTCTGAAATTACTAGATATGCAAGAAGCATAGGGAAAACGTGACAAATACCAATTCTGAAATGTGACGTTTTATTAGACCTGGATAAACACAACATATACTTAATGATAACATCTACCTCACGATCTGTCTTAACTTAATGAACATAATTCTCAATGGATTTCTAATCATAAGAAGCTTTTTTGATCGGTAGTACATGTAGTGGCGGGAAGGTATTTGCTGTGTCTTCAGCGTACTCAGAGGAAACAGGGAGTAACATCGCAGGGGGGGGGGGGCGCTGGTGGATCATATGCTCATAACTTGACGTGAAACAAACAGTAGAAAAAGACAACTTCTAAAAAGTTTTGCACTAACATATTAATCCCCGGTTTTTATATTCACACCTTTATAAAGACATCTTGTATGAATATTGGTGCATTTTGGTTCATGTTCGGGAATAATAATGTAAAATGTAGGAGCCTGTGTTTACAAGCCTATGTTTATTGAGCTGTGCTTACATAATTTACATGTTAACAAATTGCCTGTAGGCATGTAATGAAAAAAGAAACATTCATTTTTGTATTATCACAAGCTATAAATATTCCATTTTAAACTTAAGAATCTTCGCTGTACCTTTAAGTAAAACTAAAACAGTGCAATAGTTTACTTATAAATTAACATCACATCATACGTCGATGAAGGTTAGACATCCAGGTAATACGATATGCCAAAAAACAGTTACTCAAGCAACTGGATATGATTTTGAAAACGTCAGACGTTTCAGCTAGTATCCACTAGCTTTCGTCAGTGACTGAGAGACCAGAGGGGAAAGCAGGTTTAACATCACATCATCCCAAGCTTTAAGCTGTCGCTATTCCCCCAAACTAGAGGCTCTTGTAGTGTGTGATGTTGGCAGTTTCCGATATGTTGATCCTAAAAACCAAAGAAAGTTATCCCAAGTTCCCGATGTTGCGCTGAGATTAGATCTGAAAGAAAACATAGATGAAATGAGGCTAGAATAAAAGAGAAAACTTCTAAATCTGTCAGAACCTAATGATGTACATTTTGCATAATAATGCAGTTACAGCATATTTCATTTATCAAAAAACAAACATACCGGAAGTTCAATTGCAGAATCGTGGAAAGCTATCAGGAGCCCCAAATCTTTACAACCTACATACTAAATATCATTAAGATTCATCAATTACTTCTCGAGTTTACAGACAACTCACATGCACAAGAAAACATAACCGTCTTGACGAAGTTCATTATTATAATTTCGGCTTTTAGTCTTGTATCCGCCATCTTGAATCCCCCCAAATAGGTCAAAGGGCATTGAGAGCTGACAGATGTGGAGAATCTCACCTGAACCACCACGACGTCAGCTTCTGCCTTCATTTTGGAGCAAACGTGAACAGTCCAGGCCACAATCGCGATCAGTATGACTATTCCAACAAGTATGCCGACAATCACGTTCGTGCCGATAGTTCTTTGTGTCCTGTGGTTGTTCCTCGGAAGTTCGCTGACAGAGAACAGGTTTGGTCCGGGTGTGACTCTTTGTGGTGATAACGTGAACGCTCTACCTGGTGTTGGTCTGCTTTCTGCAAATTCAATAAGAACCTGTCAATTCTGTAGTTTATGCGAAATAGAAGATGAAATACATTTCACCATAGATTGCCCCTTGTATAGTAGAGTTAGACTCATATTTTTTAGCCATGTATTAAGTATACTAGTATTTCCCCACTTCAGATATTTGACTAGTAGGGAGAAATTTGTATTTCTTTTAACCTTTGATAAACCTACTCTAAGTAATCTCACAGCCGCATATATCCATACAATCACTGCTTAGCGAGATGAAGCCGAAAAGAATAGAAATTAGACATTTATTTACACTCTTATATGTTCATATGTATGTAATGTATATGTTAATGTTCATGTTCTGTACCCATGCGACCTGTACTTAGTTCTGTAGAATACAAATGTACAATAAAGGTCTTCTTCATTATATTTGTGTGGAAAATATTATTCAAAATTGAGCAAATAAGGAGTACATAATATATGTGAGCCTCGTAATCGCCTTTCTCAATGCGCACCGAGGGCACAGTACTAGTAATAGGTTTATATATTATCCAGCGCAAACGAAAAAAAGCCTTAGTGATGGATTTATATTGCTTGCTAAGGTATGCGTTGTTAACCCACAAGCGAAAGGTGATCGATTTTTCTTGGTTGACTTGTTAAATCATTGCTGTATTTATGTGCATGCACCAGTAGAACGAGCAAAGTGTGTAATTGGTGTATTCTGTATGCTGTGTCCACTGTCAGTTGCAAACAGCGTCCAAAGGTTTGACACAATATTTTGCAGATTCCGGATATTTCTTAATAATCTATTCATGCGGACTCATCTTCAGAATAACCTAAGCTAAAATTGTACAACAGCGAAGATGCAACTAAACAACAAAGAAAAAAAAACAACTTTTTTTTGCGTCACAGGTAAAATATGTAATAAAATTCTTCCATTTTTATAAAAATCAAAATCAAATGAAATATCTTTTCTGGACAAACCCAAAAATGTCGATGACCTCGAAGGCTTTTTTTTAATCTAAGGCCACACCAAGTAAATTTTATGGATGACGTCCTTTGGAAACCCTAAATCTAATGCGAGAGGGCGAAAAAAAAACAAGAAGGGCCCTAAAAAACAAGATGCCTAGATTAGAAATATACTAAGAGACGACAAATGTTAGGACACAAATTGAATGAGGTGACACAGTGTAACAAGCAAGAAGTCTTTTATTCATCATCAAAACGGCAATAAATCAGGTGGAACAGTGGACAGTGAAGAATTTTTTGTTATTGACAGGATGGTCCTGTCAATAGACACTTTCTTCGCGTTACGGGTTTCACGTCAATCTGACGATTTGCGGCACTGTCGTGACTCTATGGTCATAGTTACAGGAACCGAAATTTCTTGTTTTTTTTCTAGGAACAGGCCGAAATCAATGCGCGCGCGGACGTCATCCATAAAATTTACTTGGTGTGGCCTAATAATAATAATAATAATAATAATGGTGATAAAAAGATGTACGCCTGACTTGCAAAACAAATGACTTAAATTCTCACGTTTACATAACTATTTAATAAATAATAAGACATTAGTATAAAGTCTCTCTAAACATTAGTATAAAGATATGCCATGAAGGTTCTCATTAGCAAAATCGATAAAAATTGTAGATTTTAAATGGAGCTATTGTAACGTTTTCTCATTCACTATGCAAATAGTTGAAAGTTGCATATTTTATTCTATCTAAGTAAAATGTTAATTACCGATGCCTAACCTATTGTTGTCACTACTATGGGCATTCCATTGTTTGCCGCTATAGCGCCAATGTATTATACAATTTTCTTATCATTCAAATTATGAAATCGTATCATGGTTTGCATGATTTAAGATACACTAAAATTCCGTCTAAACAATATACATACGTACAGAAATTATTATAAGGTTTTCCTTCGTTTAACTGCAATGAAATATAAATTCCGTCCGAAATGAATGGATTACTTACCTTTTATATACTATCATTTTGGCATTCATTGATGTTACCTTGAATTAGAAAATCTCGACGAATCATGTGTATTTGAACTGATGCAAACAAAATACTTATCCTGCTAATAAAACACTCTTAGTCTGTTCTTCTGGAGAAATCCTAGAAAACCTAGAAAATTCTAAACTTGAGCCTTTTTTTATCGACATAAACAAACATCCCGACATTAGCCTGTACACGTCCAAAAAAAGAGATTGAAAAAATTTATATAAATCAGTAAAACCCAAATCTTATTATTATTATGATCAGTTATAATTATGGTCAGCTATGAGTCGAATTATGAATAATTATTATGATCAGTGATTATTATGATTATGAGTATTACTATTATGATCAGTTATTATTATGTTCAGTTATGAGTTAATTATGAATAACTATTATGATCAGTGATTATTTTGATTATGATTATTATTGTTATTATTATGCTTATCATTATCATGATCAGGTATCATTATGATCAGTTATGAGTCGAATTACGAATTATTATGATCAGTTATTTTTATGATTATGAGTATCATTGTTACTTTTATGATTATTGTTATTAGAATGATCAGTTATCAGTATTGTGATGGTTCACTACATTGTATGTATGTTTTTGATATATGAATAAATAAATTAAAAAAAAACTTCTGCTGCGATACAAAGCAAGCCGCAATGGGGAGGATGAAATGTGTTTTAATTTATTGTACTGGTGATCTAACCACTACTAAATTTCAAATCATCCTTTGTGGTAGTTTTTTTTAGCTACTTTGACAACTACTAACTACCAACACCGTTAAAAACACTACTGAAACACGATGAAGGTTTTTACCGTTTGTGGTTAGAACGAACAGGCCCGAGGAAGATGCCGGAGCTAAAGTTGGTGTTGATGTCGTTACTGAAGTTCTGGGGAAAAACGTAGTTAGGTTGGACCTGGTGATGCTCAGGCAAGGCGGGGATTTTGCCTGCATAGAAATTAAAGAAAGCAATTGTAATTGTCAATATATATAATTGAATTATTTATTGCAAATTCTTGTCCGAGGGCTAATTGCAAACAGACATTGACATGAAAAATGTTGTGATATAAGACTATTTGCTAACATGAAGTTCTACGTGTACGATATACTAATCAGAACTACTATTTCTACTTAAATCTAATAACGTTGGTATACATACAGGATAAACAGTAGATATGCAATATATGAACAGGTAAGAGGAACAAGGTAACTGCTATTTTAATCCATTCTATTCTATTCTATTCTATTCTATTCTATTCCATTAAACTATTTTTGTCTAGGTTCGCTGTATCTGTATCTGTATAGCCGGTATAACCGCCTTTCGGCGTAACACACCAGCTTCGCAGGCACGCGGCGCGGCGGCAGCTGGCTATATTACACCGATCGACTTCTTACACCTAACCCTTGAACTTCTAGCTCTAGACATTGTTTAAAGCTATCTATTGACAATGCCCCTACTGTACTTGGTGACAGTGAGTTCCACTCTGCGATAGTTCTAGGAAAGAATGAATTCTTGAACACCTCAATCCTTGGTTGATAACTCTGGTACTTGAATGCATGGCTATTTCTTGTTCTCTTCTGGGCTGATATTAGGTACTTAGTAGTTGGGACATTCACCAGTTTATTAGTCTATTTTGTACATCATGCATAGTCTGGACATCTTTCTTCTGTCTTCCAGTGAGGTCCACTGTAGGTTTCTTTTCATTTCCGTGACACTAGCACCTCTTTCATAGTTGTTCATACAGAATCTTGCAGCTTGATTCTGTACCCTTTCCAGTTTGTCTTTGTCTGTCTTTGTATATGGATCCCATACTGTTGCAGCATATTCTAGGTTCGCTGTATCTGTATCTGTATAGCCGGTATAACCGCCTTTCGGCGTGCTATTAGAGGGTTTGACCTCTTCTCAGGAGGCAGTGGGAGATGAATTGTCTGACTTTTTGAAAAATAAATGGGTTGGGAGACAATAGCATAATATAGTCTTTAGTTGTTTGTTGAGATATGAAAAAACTTGGGGAAATATTGTCGACCTCCTTGAATAACTTTTCTCTTTCAAAATCGAAATGAGGACACTGACAGATAAAATGCATTTCATCTTCCACTGCTCCCTCTGTACAGTATTTACATACCATTCGTTTACTGTGCATGCTAAAGACATACATACGATTGATATTCAAGAGTGGCAACATGACCGAACTATTCGTAATGACATGCTGTGTCGTGAGACACGGGAAGATATGAGGGCTCAGCAGAATAACGGATGTTTACTGGTTTGAAATCAGGCATCAACTGAAAGTAAATCCTGGAGAAGCCAGAAGTCCATAAGATATTGTAAACAGGAACATGTCGTACTAGCATGAAAATTCATCTGTATTGGTAGTTACATGTTTAAAGTTAAAGCTTTTGGTCCAACACAAAACAATTCTCTCACCTAGAGATTTCAACCAATCACTCTGGTCTTCCTCAGTAGACTGACCCAGTGAAGCTTGTCACGTGGCTTCTTTGAAGTGTGACGTCAACACTGGGTCACAAGTATCTGTTAGACGATGTCTGCAAAGATTTTGGACACTGAACAAGACTTTCTTTAGAGGGGTGAAGGAAGCCATATACATCAGGGCCCATCACCCTTCATTGAACCGCGACGGGGACCGACATCGTCTACCAGATACCTTTGACCCAGTGTTGACATCACACTTCAAAGACGCCAAGTGACAAGCTTCACTGGGTCAGTCTACTGAGGAAGACCAGAGTGACTGGTAGAAAACTCTAGGTGAGAGAATTTTTGTCTTTGACCAAAAGTTTTAACTTTAAACAAGAACTTGTCGTAATACTCACAAGATCGTCGCATGCTGCATCCCTCCAGGATGCTGTTAACCAGTCGTTTCCATCTGAACATCTGAACAGCAATAGAAAATACATCACTGTATAATGGGTTTTGCCTTTAACATATACAAAGATGGTGCAAATTTACGCAGATGTTCGTCGTAAAGATACACAAGCACACAGACTCAAATACAAGCAAAGTTAGCAGTCGGCAAACAAAGAAAAAATTTGGAACTTAATTTTGGAAGTTTTGTTGAAAGGTAACATAAGCTCATACAATCTTTTTTTTTGTCAACTGACCACGTTTATCTTTACTTGGGTAAACATCACGATTCACAAAGCTCTTAATTCGATAAAACTGTCTCACCTGTTAACTTTCTGACACCACCCACACTCAAAGTCTACTATACTCGAGTTTATGCAACTACTGCATCCCCTTAGTTCACCACACGCTGCAAAACACACATTATATAAAGATATATTCAAATCTGTCTCCAACATCGAGACTCTTGAAATCTATGGTACTTGATTAGAGGAATGTAAATAGCTTGTTACGTATAACATCACATTCATTACAGACATGGTGATCCTGCATATAGTCACATTGTAGAGGGATCTGCTGAAACCTCAGAGTCAGCAGATCACTTTCCAAAGCATTGGCTGATTGATTGATATTTTGCCTGACTTATTACCTCCATGAAAAATGGAGGTATTGTTTTTGGCGTGTCTGTCTGTATGTATGTATGTCTGTCTGTGTGTCTGTCTGTCTGTGTTTCCGCAACTTTGTGGTCAGCATAACTTCAGAACGCCTTTATGGATTATGATGATATTTGGTGTGTTGGTAAGTCTTAGGAAGACAAACGTCAAGGTCAAATATGGGCCTCCTGGTGGATGACCTTGGTACTGCAGCAGAACTTCCGGTTTTTGTATCTTTTGTCCTGAACATGCTATGGTCTTTAAGTTTTGGTGACAGATTGCTTTTCCTGTCAGGAATAAGTGGTGTGAGTTTGGTCCCCCTAGCAACTTGTTCTGGAACTGCAGGGCACTTTCTGGCGAAATGTTTAAAAGCCAATAAGTCAAGATAGGAACAACATATTTTCATAATTTTTGGTGTGTAGGTAGCTGAGAGAGAGATGCACATGATTAAATGCAAATTATGCAAATGAGGACTTTATTTGCATAATTAATGAGGAAATTCTATAATTACAGTGTTTTACATTATACTACTTTCATACATGTAATGTATGTAACCTATGGCAGGCAGAACATCAACAGATACTAATTATGCAAATGGTGACCTAATTTACATAATTTATGCAAAAATTCTATGATTTCTTAATGGTGAATGATGGGAATGTCATACTTGGAACATCTGTAAGTTAA